TTGACCATGAAGAATTAATGATCGTTGATGAATGATTTCTATTGAGCTAAGTGGCATTTTGAGACTCAGGTGAGTATGAACGAATCCCTTCTTTGACGCCTACTCCTCAGTCCAGCCTGCACGAACAAGTCCTCACATCACGACCTTGCTTGGAAACTAGTCCTGATTCTACATAGTAGTATCGACCGACTTATTTGTCGATCTTTTTTTTAATCATGATGAGTACCCCTCATAAAAAATATGATCACTCAAGCCTGATCTTTTTTTAATTATATAATATATGTGGATGAAATGTTTTGAGCCGTGTGCTCACAACCTCCCATAAATGTTGTAAGAAATCTTGATATTGATTCAATGTATGAGGTTGGAGAGACGTACTGTACCATTGCATGCCTTCCAAAACTCTTGTGGCTTTGGTTTGAATGAGAACAAGGATTGTCGAGCAGGGAAGTGTCAACTTCTCACAACCCAATAAGTACTTTCTCATTGACTTGACTACGTAATTCCAACCCTATTTTTAAATATTCCACTTATGCGTTGGTTTGAGATGACTTTTTTACTGCTTCTTAAAGCTATTTTTTTTCGTAATTTTTTTTTTATAAAACTGATTTAAGAAGCAGAAAAAAAGCTATCTCAAACAAAGCCTATATTAATATTTTTTACTCTCTCTCTCTTTCTCTCTCTTTTCTATAACATTATGTATATCTTATATATAATATTTAGTTTTATTTTGTGTTAGAACATTCGAGATGATAGTGATTGAATTTTAATGTCATAGCTTTCATGAAATTCCATATATGTGTATGGAACTATGGATAAAAAAGAAGGTAGTATGCATCATAATTTGTACGTAGAGAATCAGAAAGGGAAAATATCACGAGGATTGACCTGGATGAAATGATCTACTATATAGATGCATGACCAAAATCTGCTCTTCTTCTCAATTGGAGAAGACGATACTAGATATTTCTATTTTTGTTAGATGTACGTGAGGGCGAATGTTGGAAATGCAATGGCTGGATAATATTAGTCGGACAATGTTAAGGATTGACTGTAGGATGATTATTGTCGAGTGATGATAGACGAACAATAGTAGTCGGGTGATAATAGTTTGGAGATATCAGTCGGATAATTGCAGTTAGGCGACGACAAATGAGAGATGACAATTGAACAATGACATTCAGACGATGATGAATGAGAGATCACGGTAGGACAATGCGTCAATGACAAACATGTGATGGTGGTGATTAGATAATGGTAGTTAGACGATGATGGTTGAAAGATAGTAGCCAAGCGATGGTAGTAGTTGTTAGTGGTCGTCAAAGTCGAACATTAGTAAAACTCTAGAGTTCTTCAAATCTTCAAGCTCTCTCCTTTTTTTCAATCAAGATAACCTCACGTGAAGAATGATGATCAATTTATAATACTAATAAAGTGGTCATTTTATAAATTTAGGCAAAATTTCATAGCACTATATTTGACGGCACATATTAATGACATTAAAATCAAGTGATTTTAGGCTTATTGGATTCGTCTCATCGAGCTGCTTGATTTGACTTTAAGCATGTAAGATTTGAATATCATTCAATCCTTCAATTATTAGATTTGTGTTGAGATTGATGATATACGTATCATAAGTTACACTAATCTCGAAAAAAACCCCTTAGAAACATATTCTAACATATTTTGCATCGAAATATTCTGAAATAATTTATTTTGTGGTAAATATTCTCGACCGTAAAAGCCTAAACAACATACTTAAATAACACTCCAATCGTCCATTAAACCAATGAAATTCGGATGAAAGCGATGCCTATGGCCACCAATCGAGTTAGATTAACGAGAATTCTAATTGTTGCGGGCTAGAAATTACGCGGCGATAGAGATTTGATTCTACGTCTTAGCGTTGAACGTATAACTAGCACACACAGAGAACACAAGATTTTTTATGTGGAAAACCCTTAAAAGGGAAAAACCACGAGGCCTAGCCCAGTTGAAAATATCAGCCGACCAATC